ATAAAAAATAAAATAATAATAATAAATAAATTAATAATAATAAATACTAAATAAAATAATAACAATAAATACTAAATAAAATAATAATAATTAATAAAATAATAAAAAAAATAATACGAAAATAATAATAGTAAAATAATAATAATAAATAAATGAATAAATAAAAATTATATAAATTACGAACTAAATATCAGAAATTACGATTTGTGTAAAATTATAATCATCATATGAAATTTGATATATTTAAATGAGATTTCCATCCCCAATAATATATCCTATGTTTGGCAGTGTTTAGTTATTTTGCTAGAACTATTGCAACGAGCGTCGAGCCTCGACTCACGCCGTCTGTTCAGAAAAATCGAACATATTGTTATGAGCCCCATGAAAAACATGAAAAAAGCTGCCACATATGGCACAATTATTTCGGACACCCCGCAAAGAACGAGTTTATTGATTTATTTTTATTTCTTTTTATTTTATTTATTTCTTTTTTTTTTGCATATGAGAAATTCCAGTAAAGAACAGAAATTTGTTCGCACACACTTTGTGGGAATTTATGGCCAGCTCATGGGTAATTGATTAATGCCGCAACTAAACCAAACGATTATGAATTATATAAATGGGCTATAGGCCTAGGCAACTGCTGCGACTGTGACGCCCACTTTTCAACTGGCAAAAAAAAGGGCTAGAGATTTGATGATAGAGAGGGGCAGCATCCATACTACTACTACTACTACTACTACTACCTTAATTATGGTTTTTTTTTCGGCCTGTTGTAGCTTGCGGTTATTATTGTCAGCACGCTTTGAGAACAAGTTTTTCCATTGTGTGAGTCAATTGACCCAAATTGCGAAGCTCGAGCCGAGCTTTGTTGTCCGTTTGGTCGGTCTGCTGTGCTGTCTGGTCTCGGGCTGGCTGGCATTCTCTGCAGTCTTTTGTAGCAGACGTGTCGCGTTTGCTGTTCTTTTTTTTTAGTAGGTCGCATTTAAGACAAGTCGCTTGAACTTTGCCAAAAAAAGAAAGAAAGAAAAAAAAAGAGATAAGTTAAAGGGAAGTTACGACCGAGCCCATATATATAGCTGTACATCTGTATTATTGCGTATATAAATTTGTTATATTACGCATAAAGATCTCAGCTCACATTCATTAAAATGTGCTCATATCTAATTATATATAATTGTTTATAATTTTGTTTTCATTTAATTTATGAATTGTCGGTTATTTTGATTTATGTCATGCAGTTCTTTGCTATAGATAATGGAATGACCTCTTGCTCGCTAAGCACTGCCTAGTTAGTCCAGTATTTAGTCTCACTATGTTATCTAGCTTGTTATCTACTCGCACTCGAGTGTTGCAAACACTTTCCCAGCTCGTTGAGTGCTACTGAAACAAATTCAATTTTGCAACTTTGCCTCGGAATCTCTTGAGTTATGCAAAGGAAAACTTGCTGCTAGCTGCTGGAAAACTTTAGCCGCAAATTTTCATTTTTCTTGTTCGTTACCGATGTTTTGTTTGAGGTTGTTCGTGCAGCACCTTAGCTAAGATGCCCTGTAGGCTTTGTGAATGGATAAATAAAATATCAATTTTACTGCAAACTGATTAAAATATGTTAAAATAAAAAATAAAATAATAAATATGTAAATAATTTTTGCTCTTGATTGGAATATTATGATCAAATATTATTACTTTAAATATATTAAATATATTATTATTTTATATATTTTTATTACAATATTTAATTGAATTTTACTATTATTATTATTTTATATATTAATATTACAATATTATTTTTGTTTATATTATTATTTTTATTTTTTATTATTATTATTGTTTTTATATTTTTACTTTCAATTTATCATTATTAAAGTATGTTTAATTTTGATTTTAGTATATTAAATATTTTTAATTTAATTTAATTTTTTTTTATTTATATACTTTTATTATTGTTTTTACTTTCTATTTAATATAAATGTATTTTTAATATTTGCTTAATAGCTCGTTATCTCCTTTAAGCACAGGGTATCATCTAGTCAGTCCACCTGCTAAGCTCTATTCTCTTTATTCCCACTTCGTTCACCTGCTTTGTTGGCTGCGTTCATTCAGTCATTCACTCATTGTTTTTGCTGTCGCCCATAACAATAGGTGTTGCCTCTTGCTCTGGCTACTGCAACTGCCTTATACCCTGTGGAAGCGAGTGACTAATGTGTATATTGGTTGGTAGACACAGTCAACGTACTACGCATACCTAATTAGCAGCATTTATCTGTTCGAAATTCCCTCTTTCTGAATACATAGAATTTATAATTTAAACTTTATCTTTAAGCCAGCTCCAGGGTATCTGCTGTTCGTGCACTCGTAACTAGTTCATTCTTATCGCTCATTTTTATACAGAGCCTTAGCTTCGCTTGTGATCTACTTAAGTAAACAACAAGCAACGAGCAATTGCAATTGCAATTGCAGTTGACAAATTCATCAGCTTATCAGAGTTCAGTTGATTTCAGTATTCTTGTTTTTTTTTTTTTTTTTATCGCCTGAAACGTGCTTCTGTTCGAAAACTAAATTGAGTTTATATATATACATATATATTATATACATATTTATTTACTATAGATCCTTAACTTTACGTCACGTTCGTCGCAGACGCCATCAGAGCTCTGCCAAATTTGTTGCAGCTGCATAATGCGAATTGTATTGTTCCTCATTTTTGGCTTTAAATTGAATCAACTTCCTGCATGCAAATACATTCAATATTTTTATTTTCTGTCAATATCATTCAACGAATGAAGTTGTACAGTATTTTAGCTTTTACCAATAAAACTTAACATATTTAATATATAAATTGCAATTATTTTCTTTTTTTTATTGCAGTTCTTTTACTATTCCTGCAACAATTGCTTCCAAATCAACTGAAAATTGCCAAAAAAAACTAAAGTAAAGAAATCGTAGAGAAAGACAACTGCCAAACATAGCGAAACTTCCGAAATGTGGAAACTTCAGACTATGAAAAAAAGTGAGTGAAATAATAAAACATAAATTTAGTTACAGTATATATTGCATGACACTTGATTAGTCATAAAAAAGATCATATAAAGCGAAGTCTGCTTGCTACAGTTTAAGAGTCATTGAATGCGAACTAAATGCAGTCTTATACAGCTGATCTTACTTGAAATAATTACTTATGTATATATGAATGGGCATTGGCATACATAAAATAAGAATTGTATTCATTTTATAATTGTAAGGAATATTGTTCAGACATATAAAATTGTATAATGTCATTGACAATAAAAGAAAACTACGATTGTGGATCGCATATTATCCAAGTTTACAATCGAGAGTAAAAATATCAAACTGTAGTCGAGACAACAACCAAACATGTTCAGAGCGATAACTGACCGCATATAAGAGTTGTAGTTGGGTGTTTTGTGGTGCGTGTCCTGGCTATGATATAAGTGAATGTTTGTGATAGCATAATTACAAATAGCAAGAATTGAAGTGGGTAAAGTGCAAAGTATATAAATAATGACTATAACATAAGTTAACTAATAATTAATATTGGACAGAGCTACTGTCTTATACACAACAATTGAGAGCGTATAAAATTTTCAGTTGGGTTGCGTGTCACAGCTAAGCTAATGTGTGTGTATTGGCTAATATGCAAATAGTATAAGCTGCAAGAGAAGTGTATAAGTAAATGCCTACTTAATAGAAATTTGTTTAAGTATTTACTAAAAATATATTAAATAATTATCTAATATTGTCTCTATATTTATCTTCTAGCTCTAATTGCCTCGTAAATAATTTGGAAGATAAGATTATACACACACTTAGATATATATCAAAAAGGGATCAGAGAACGCCATGGATGCTCCAGATGCTGGCCGCATTATACGTGCACCTGCGCGACGCAAACGCAATGACGAACAGCTAATGGATAGGGTAAGTCTCCTAACTCAATCTGCACAGCTAAAAATATATAGTTAGTTTTCATATTTTGTCACTCGGTTTTTCTATGAGTTTTTGATTTGATTTGATTTGCGTTCAGTTCGTGTCGTTTCATTGAACTCAGTCACGATCTATTTATGGGCGATCCAGTTTCCACGGCGACTCGCTGAACGAGTTCCCGAATGCATAATTGGAATGATAAAAATGAAAGTTATATCCAGTCGTAAAGACACCCGCTAATTCGATTTGATTGATTCATTTAAAATGCATTGGGAATTTGAAGAATTTCTGAAATTTGATTGCTTGCACGACCCAGTTTCAAAACCTTATATTGACAGACTCACCACCCACGCGACCACCCACAGTTGAATAAGTTCATTAACATGCTAAATCTTCAACTCCACCACACACCCCACGCACACACAATGCAACCCACAATTAGCGCGCATCAAGTTTCACGCAATTAAAACAGTGAAATAAAAAAGTAAATTATAAAGAAAGAAACAGACAATAACAACAATTAGTTGGTTTTATGTCAAGTTCAATGCACGAAGTCAGACGAACAGACGGAGCCACCCACCCACGCTCGGTAACAAATGTGCGAAATATTATTAAATAATACTCCAAATCCCAAGCACTGAGCGAGTGAGCGCCTGAGCGACTTTCTCTCCGCAAGCAAAAAGCTTCGTCGTCTGACCTTTTCACCAAACAGACCAACTTCACCATAGCCGAACACAACAGCTGAGCGCCGCTCCAGCAGCAGCAGCAGCAACACCAACACCAACAACAGCGTCGGCAAAACTTTAACTGTGTATTTGAAGTTTGAGAGTCGGTGTCACGATCTTGTCGCTCTCTCGTAGCCGAACTAAATGTAGTTGTTGCTGTTGTTGTTTTGATTTTTCAACGCCTGTTAGTTAATGCCTTTTACTCGCGCCTCTTTGCGCTCTTCGCGCTGCGCTCCGAGTACTGTCGCTGCGCCATTGGCTTGGCGCTGCCCGACACTCGCTGCGCTGTTTCAGTTACAATTTGTATTCCACTTGGTGCGCGGTAGACTCGCCGCGCTGCTCGCAAATCGCCGCGAGTCTAACTCCCCACACACCCACCACTTTGCCGTTGCTGTTGCTGCTGCCTGGTGCTTGGTGCTTGGTGCGTTGTTTCGTTGCTTGTTGCAACTTTGCATTTTGCAACAAAAGTGCAGTAAAATTATGAAGAAAATGAAATAACGGCACTGCAGAATTCCCAATTGGGCAGCGAATTGTTCGCCTTAATTACTTATGTAGCCAACAAATAAAGAAAAAGAATCGAAAAAAAACTTGTGCGGCCTTCGGACATATTCGGCGCGTGTAATTCGGTCGACGTCGCTGTCGCCAGCGCAGTTGCCGTCGCAGTCATCGCTGGCGTTAACAGCGAATTATATTATACGAAAAGTCTCTCGCCCCGTTTAGATGATGACTGAAATTACGTGCGAGCAGCCCAACCTCCCTCCGCCCCTCGAGTCGCGGCAACCCCTAATGCTTTAAGTCAATTATTTTGCAACAGATTTTGTTGTTGCTCTTGTCTTTCAATTAATAAAATGATTAGATCATTGTGGGGGACAAAGTTTCAACTGAAATGCAAAAACGGTCAGAAATTGTTGAAATAAGCTCAATCTGAAATTCAAATTCCTCTGGCAAATTAACAGACTGAGAGAGTTAATTAATTTTGTGAAACTAAAAGTGTATCTCTGACCATACTGTTAATATTGTACTGTTGTAATACTGTTATA